TTAAGACTGTGACTTTTTGTGGCACCTCGGGCTGGGTTTAACTTCTAACCTGTTGGCTAGTAGCTGAATCCTTAACTGTTGGTGCCACCCAGGAGATAGTGAGCTCAGAATTTCAAAAATAATCTAGAATGCCATTTGGGGAATGTTATAGAGGAGATTTAAGCATGTGAGTTGGTCTACGTGGCATTAAAGTGTTGTTGTTTTTCTGCCTTTAGAGACAGCAAGAAAATATATGAGGTGGTAGCTACAGGATGAAGAGAAATGACACATCAGAAGTAGGGGAAGGATGCTGGTACAAAGCACTTAATAATGGGGAGTAACAGGATTTTATTCAGTTTAAAGGGGAAATAGCTATGCCTGGTATAGCACTGTGGGTTAATGCGCTGGACTGCAAGGTTGACTTGAACTGCAAGGTTGGCAATTCAAGCTCACCAGCCACTCCCCGGAAATCCTATATAGGGTCACTATGAGGCAGAATTGACTCAGTGGCACTAACAACACAAGTTATGCCATTGCACCTGATCTGACCTGGGTTTGGGACCAGGGCAAAGATCTTAATAAAAGTGACAGTCCAGAAACATCAACACACAGAGAGTCAATTGATTTTTACATATCTCAGTGGGGAAAAGATACTCTTTTCATGGTGTTGGTAAAACTGAATGTGTGCTTTGAAAAAAAAAAAAAAAAAAACCTCAATTCTTAGCACCATAAAAATGATTATAGACAAAAATATAAACAAAAACTATAGAACTTCTAGAAGGAAGTATAAAAGAATCTCTGTAACTTTAAGAGATAAAACACAAAGAGCATGAAACATAAAAATGAAAATTGATAAATCAGACTTTAACCAAGTTTGAATTTTCTTTTCTTTGAAAGGCACCAATCAGTTTTGATCATTCAGCATATTCACCTAGGGCCCCAAATCTCAATATGAAAACAAGATGTGATGGCAAAAACTTTTCCATTTACTAATGCTCCCTCCCCAAATATATATCAGTCACAATAATGCTACCTAAAAACAAATCTCAGTGACTTTCTTGCTCATGGGTTTGTGGGTAGGTTGGATGGAGTTTACTTCAGCTGAGGTTGACCTAATATAAATCCAAAGTGTAGGTCACGGTGAAGTCTACATGTCTCATTTTGGAGCAATGATGAAGAAGTCAAAGAATAACTAAGGCAGGTTTTTATTTTATTTTAATTTTTTTCTGGGATTGGAAGAAGCACAGAAGTGGAAAAATCCAAACACAATTCAAGCCTCTGCTTGCATCTTGTCTGCCAACATCCCTTAGCCATAGTAACATGACCAATCCCAAGGTCAAGAGATGGAATTAGACTTCATCCATTCTAAGGTCTTGGCAAGAAGGTAGCGAAGAATTGAGAGCAACAGTAAATCAACCATAGCATAAATACTGATACTTTGACTGTTGTGAGTAAGTTATAATTAACACTAGAAGATTGTTTCCCCTACCCCCACCCCCTGCACAATGAATGATACAATGCATCAAATGCATCAAATGCCTCATCTCTATCTCTTTCTTAGGTTTCTGAACCAGTGCATCCTACCTTGTGGTTTGACCTCTGAATCTACTGGGAGATATCTACAGGGTCCACAGGAATTGAATAGTTTTGACTTCTAGTGTGGTACTGTAGGATAGCACTGGACTGTGAACCACAAGGTTAGCAGTTCAGACCTACCAGCTGTTCTTTGGAAAACCTATACCAGGTCGCTGTGAGTCAGAACTGACTCCATAGCATTTTACAGTTGGTGAAGCTGTTATAGGCTCAAAACAAAGAGGATCCTCTACTATTTCCCTTCCTGATATGAATTTCCCTACATAGTCATTACACTTACAGTCATTACACTCTGCCTGCCTGCTCTTTCTGCTTAAAGGGAAGAAGAAAAGCTGATCATATTCCAAGTGAAGAAGAAACTGAAGAAATGGCCTGCGGCTGGGAAAGAGTCACTTGCAAACTGGTGGCCGGTGCAGAGTTTCCAGGAGGTTGAGAGATTCACTATCCTGGTCATGTAATTGCTGAAGAAGGCACCTGGGAAACTTCACTGGAAGAGAATCAAGTCCAGAGGAAACCTGAGTTGACCATAAACACTGAATATTAAATGGTCAAAGACAACACCATTCATTCATTCAACAATTATTTATTGAGTCTTTCTTTGTGCCAGGCACACTGCTCTGTGCCCATTTAAAGAAAATAGGTCATATCCCTGCTCTTGTAGAGCTTTTCAGGGATGGGGTGGGTGGGAGTGAGGACACAAACAATAAAAATAAGTCAGCAAATATGTAGTATTTTAGGAGTAATAAGTGAGCCAGAGAAAAGGCAAAAAAAAAAAAAGGGAGGGTTAGGGTGTCTTGTGGGGGTGGAGTACAATTTTAGAAAGGATGATCTGGGCAGGTGACATCTGAGTAGACATTGGAGGAGATAGGAAAGGGGTGAGTTCTGCCCTGGGCGTTCTGCACAAAGGAACTAGAAAATGCAGAGATTGAGATGGTTGGATGCCTTGGGGGTCTGAGGAATCATTAAAAATCTGGTATGTGGGAGAGTTTGAACGGAAGCCAGACAGGTAATGGGAATGGTGGTTGGAGGAGTTGGAGGTAAGTTCAAGTAGGACCTTGTGGGCCATTGTAACGGCTTAGGCATTTACTCAGTGAAATGGGGAATCACTAGAGGATTTTGCACATGAGCGACATCTACCTTTTACCACTACAATGGGGCTTTTGTGTTAAGAACAGATTGAAGAGAAACAAGGTAGAAACACAGACACATAATTTTATGTGATCCTGTGGAAATGACTAGTTAGTAGGCAGAAGGGGCTGACTTTTCTCATTAATTACCTATTAACGGATTGTTCACCAGTGCAATTGGCTGCCTCAGTCACCTTGGGAGCTATACTTAGCAGCCTGTCACTAGAGGTCCCAGCAGAGGTCAGGGATGTTAATGCTGAGAAATTCCTATATCAAATATGGAACTAGATCCTCTGACATCCCAGATTTCTTCCAGTGCTGAGAGAATGACTCCATAGCACAATCATGTTAATCTCCCCCAACTAGAGTATAAACTTCATGAGAGCAAGGATTGTTCTCTGTTCTCATTACTATACCCTAGTACCTAGAACAGTGCCTGGCATATAGCAGACACCAATAATATTTATTGCACATATAAACATCTCTATTAAACATGTGGAGCCCTTGTGTGACACTGTAGGATAAACACTGGACTGCAAGGTTGGTTTAAAACACAAGGTTGGCAGTTGAAACTCACCAGCTGTTTCTCAGAAACCTTATGCAGGGTCCCTATGAATCAAAGGACTTAACAGCATCGTTAAACTTATTGTAGGGCCTTGAGCAAGGTACTTCTCTGCATCTCAGAAATTAGAAAAGTGGGATTGACTGGCATTTTATGCTCTATCCAAATCTTCCACTTGGTGTTCCTCATTTCAAACACTGAGCTAATTTTTCTAAATGGTTTTGCAGGCTAAGGCATATGCAAAGGAACTCTTATGGGGAGGAAAGGAAGAGATGAGAAAGGGGAAAACTGAACAAAGGAGAGGTGCATGGATAATCTAGGGGACTAGGGATCAGAGCATCCTCTGAAAATAAATGTGAACTCTCCTTTTGAGATGAATATAATTGTAATTCAGATAAGGGATGCTTCACTGGAAACTGAGGCTCCATCCCAAACATGTTGCCTTTGCTTCAAGTGAGTCAGTCTGGTCAACAAACTGTTCACAGGCCTCAGGTCTCCTGGAGAAAATTACATAAATAGCAGCAGGAACTCCATCAAAATGTAATCAAAAATACATTTTAATATTGGTGAAGTTCACAAATGACAAGATTTGCATTTCTTTAAACAAATAGTTCAGTCAAGGCACAGCATTACTATGTGTCCCTAGACGCACAAGAAGCAGTGATTTCATGTTCCCCCCCCTGAGATTTAGTGGAGCCTGCGACATTGGCAGGATGGCTTCTGGGGGAGGAGGGCCAGATTTGCTATTAGATAAGCCAGTGAGACATGCTGTCATATTTATTGGGCACAGAATCAGATATAAAATGATGCACAACAGATAACTGCAATGAGCTTATTTTACATTTAGCATTAGCTCCTCTGGAACAAAGAAGATAGTTTTCAATATCAAGAAGGATGAAAGTATGTGTTTCTTCGCAGTGGTTTTCCTATAAGTTGCTTTCATTACAAATGGAGTTTTCTGCGTCATGGCAAGCTAAGAAGAAAGATAAAAAGTAGCAAGTTATTATTTACTTTTTATTAGGCCCTTGACATATATTATCTCATCTACTTTTTAAAAATAATATTAGACTTATTGTTGTTCTCAATTTATAGGTGGAGAAGCTAAGGCTCAGCGAGGTTAAATTGTAGGTCCTGGTCCTATAGCTAGTAAGAGGCATACATAGTTCTTAAAACCAAGTTTATGTTCTTCATCCAGAGGTACATGACCTTGTATGTACCTCCAAGCATATGCTCCAAGAAGATATTGTCATTATTTTTCAAACTTAAATGTCAGAATAATCACAATTATAACGGCTGGGAACAGCTTTTTAAATAAACTAGTTTAAAATAACAACCAGTTGCCATTAAGCCAATTCTGATTCATGACAACCTCATGCGTATCCGAGTAGGACTGTTCTCTTTAGGTTTTGCAATGCCTGCTTTTTCAGATGTGAATTACCAGGACTTTATTCTGAGACATCTCTGGGTAGACATGAAGCTCCAACCATTTAGTTAGCTATCTAGCGTGTTAATCATTTGTATCACTCAGTGACTTCTTTAAATGACAGGATCTATATTCCCTAGCCTGACCATCTCAGTGCCACCAAGAGAGACGGGGAAACCAGAAAGATGAACCCAAATTCTGGGGGTTTCAGATAATCAGGACCCTCTCCAGTCCTATACTAGGCTGTCATCCTGGGTCCTCCTATACAACAGGATAAGGGCAGTCAGTCACCTTCAACCCCCAGTCCCTCAGCTGCTCAAGCCTGCAGGTCCCTGCGGCGCCGGCCAAAGGCATTGGAGCCCACATCAGTGGGCACAAAGTTGCTCTTCACTATGCCCCCGGATCTGCTCAGCAAGCCTGCCAGTTGGTGGGTCACACAGGTGGCAGTTTTGCAGGCTCTTTTCTGGGCAGTGACACTGATTTGTGAGATAGAGAAAGAAGAGAAGATCTGTCAGTTAGAAGCTGGTGGGAAGGAGCCTGCTCCCATGGGACCATCATGGCAAAGTTGCCTTTCTGAGAGGCACCAATTAACCTTAAGTGTTTCTCCTAAATACAGTTATCAAAGCAGAAAATCACAAGGGCCATTAGGGAAAATGCAAGACTCACTCCCTCCCCACAGAATTTCCCAGGGGTGTTGGAAAACCCGAAGGTGACTCTTGGTCACTTGCCCTGAAATACAGAGCTAATACAGAACCAATCATTCCTGTAAAAATGGACTAAAAATCATCAAAGATTTATAGGACTAGAGCAAATTATGTTGGCACACTCAATTCCATTGAAACTCCCAAGAACTATCTAGAGGCCACACCTTAGTCACCGGCACCAAATATCTCTTCTTAGGAAAAGAAAATGCCCCTTCTTACCTGGAAGAAGAATCCAATCTGCAGCATCCAATCCCAGAGTTGCTGACCTGCTCTTTGGCATTGTCTGTTCTTGCTCTTTGAGTGTTGATTCACAAGGACCACCCACCAAACCCTGTGTCCCTGAGCCTAACACCACTTCTAAGCACAGGTTGTGAACACTGAGAAGCCTGGGACATGGGCCAGAGCAATGACCACCACAGCTCAGGTCTTTTTAGAAAAATAATTTTATTTCCTAAATGACCAGCATATTCAGAAGCAGGACTAGGAGGCTCTGTTATGGCATCCTCGGAGAGGGCTGCCCTTTCTCACTGATCTCTTCCTAAGTGATTCTCTTCTGGCCTGTGAATCCTGCTCTGTCTCTCATCTGAGGTTCCAGACATCCTCTGCCACAAAGGATGACACTGAAACCAGCCCAAATCAGTCAGTGTGAAACCACATGCATCACATTGTAGGAAGGAAGTGAGGGAGGCAATTAGAAAGGGGAGGGAAGGGTTTAGTGGGAATCCTGGAAGATGCCAAACTGAAGGCTGTGGTTTCTCGCCATGTCCCTTTTCTTGCCAGGTGCTCCGACACCGATTGCAGTTTGAGGAAAAGTGTGAAACTTGTTCAGGTCTTGTGTGTATGCGCCCAGCATGCAGGTACTCAGATTACCACACCTCTTAGTTCTGGGTTTGTCCAGGCTGCAGGGAAAAGACATGCATAACAGTACCATGCACCAGCTCTGCCCTGTGGGAACTCAGGCAGGTTAGTACACTGAGAGGGCTCACAAGCAGGGGTAGGAGGGGCAGGCAGATGGGCAACACATACATCTTCCCTCAGGAGACTCTGAGGTACACAGGGCAGGACAGTGTGGGGAAGAACTGGGGTCAGGAAGGGGTGGTCTTTCCCCCGCATTCCACATGCTACTCAGCCCTTCATGCTGTATCTGCAGAGAGACCCCTGTTGTCAGGATGGATGGTGGTGCAATTCATGCTGCCAGCGGTCTCTGCTGTAAGCTCAGGGTGCACAGGGAGGTGGGTGGGGAAGGGTGCTCTCTCTGGTCCTGTGACAGCATGCACATCACAATAGATGATCCCCAGAGAGCAGGTAGATCCTACACATCTAAAGACCCCAGACCTACCTCAGACACTGCTCTACCTGGTCCCACCCTCTGCAAGGCCTCCGCCTTCACCATGCAAATGTGGAGTGAAGGCTCCTTGCAGGTGTAGAAGACCAATATGTAGGTTAACCAGGTGGGGCCAAATTTCTTTAAAAGCTCCTGAGACATACGGGTCCATCCCTGGTGTCATACTTACCAGTCCTAACTCATCCCATGCTGGGAGGTCTCCTCAAGTGTAATCAGATCAGTTCTCAAAGTAAGAAATTCCATACCTTCCCCGTTCATTTCCTAACAGCCTTTGTAGCCTACCAACAGTCTCTCTGGTTGCAGTGAGCCTGAGAACAGCTGAGTCTGGTGAACTGCTGGACTCCTGACTAAGTGTGTTCTCTCCTACCTCTCAGATTCATCTTCCTGGGTCTATTAGGAGGACTATACCGCTCGGCGGGACTCGGAGCCTTACCTGGAGCCCTCTGTCTCCTGCTCTTGCTCCAGCTCATTGACCTTCATCTGCACAAAGTCCTTCAACAGTGCAGCCAGCAGGAGGCGCGCTTCCTCCTCACTGAGTGCAGTGGGATCTGGGTTGCTCTCTATGGCAGACCTGGAGAAAGGAAGCAAATCCATGCCACCTCTGAGACCCTGACCGCCTCCTCTGGATAAACAACCATGAGCATGTGGCCGCCTTGACTCCAAGGTAGACAGAGTCTGATTTCAGTGTTCACCCAAGGATGCTGATTTACTGCGCCTCAGACCCTGGGGTGGTCTCCATGTGTGTTGTCCTAGAGCCCGACTCTACCAGCCATTTGGCAAACTGATTGTTAAGCATAATCATCACAAATGAAATCATATAAGTTTATAATTAGAGTTAAGGATCGCTGGTAGCATAGTGGTTATGAGTCGGGCTGCGAACCTCAAGGTCAGCAGTTCGAAACTACCGTCTGTTCCACGGGAGAAAGATGAGGCTTTCGGCTCCCGTAAAGATTTACAGCCTCGGAAACCCTATACAGGGTCAGTATGTGTCGGAACCGACTACACGGCACACTGCTACCACCACCACCACCAGAATGTGTTGAAGCAGAAAAAGTTTTCTGTATGAGGGTGAAAAATAGATGAACAGTTCACATGTCAGATATAATAACAATACATTTATTGCCATCTTAATAGATTGGCATGCAATTTCTTTTTCAAATCATGGTAGAATTGAATAAATAGGCTGGCAATGGATACAAGAGTTCTGTAAAAAGTAATGACATTATCAATCCTCAATAGGCTAGACAAAATTTACAATCAGGAGTTGTTGTCGTTAAGTGCCGTCCAGTCGGTTCCGACCTATAGCGACCCTGTATAGTGTTTCCAAGGAGCGGCTGGTGAGTTTGAACTTCCGACCTTGCAGTTTAAACCGACATTGCAGTCCAGCGCATTAACTCATCGTGCCCACAATAAGAAGTATTAGATATTTATTTATCTTTGTAAATTATGTGCTACACATCCTTTATGTCAGAGAAGTTTAAAATAAATGTGCTTGCTTGTATACATTGTTTCAGAGAGCCAAATGTTAAATATTCAACTCGCAACAATTCTGAAGGAGGGAGAAGTGGGAGAAGAGTGTGCTCCGCAAAGCTGTCTCTCACCTGAATGGAGAGGCCTGAAGGCTGTTGGTCTGGTACAGGACCAAGATGCTGAGAGCCAGGAAGGAGGAGAACTTCCGGAAACCCATGTCGCCACTCTGCAAGGGAACAGTGACATCACTGTGAGGACCACTTCAAAGTTCTAAGAGCCCAGGGACGTGGACATCAGTCCTGCTGGCACCCACCCCTAACACCCTGGCGTCAAGGCTTCAGCTGGTCACTTCATTTCTCTTCCCCTTAGTTTCCACATCAGCAGGGTGGACTGCTAGAAGGCTGGCGCATGGTTTGGCAGAGCTGGAGGAATTGTGCACCGAAACAGATAGGCGAGGATGTCTCAGTTCTAATGTCCACCCACCCACCTTCAGAGCAAGTTTCTGCTGAGGTCACTCCCAGAGCCCCGGGTCACAAGAGCCGATCCCATTAACGCCAGTCTTCTCAGCGTCTGAGAAACCCAGAACTACCCTCTCTGCGCGGCTTGTGCATCAGTGCCTGGGGTACTATGGGAGCGTGAGCTGACATAGGAAAGGAGGAAATCTCTCAGCTCAAAGACTGAGAGCTCAGCAGCTCCGCCCTCTGGCAATTTAGAAACAAGCTTAATTTAAGACCCGGGACTTTGCGCTGCGTTCCACAAGCGACCGGAGTTGCTGCACTTTAGGGCTGACAATCCCCTTCAGTCGCTATGCCCATTTGCCACCTTTTCACGGTGGTCCAGGTTCTGGACTAATTTTCCGCAGACAACTAGAAGCAATCCCTAAACGCACAATTGGAAAACTGCTTCTGCAACCCGCTCCGTGTGCGGTGTAGCGGGAACCAAGGGTCAGGAATTTGGTCTAGGCTTGTGTGCAGCGGGAGAGAGCAAGGTTGGGACAGGAAGTCCAAGGGTTGAGCATGTCTTGTACTACCTGAGGCAAGCGCTTAGGCTGGACCGACGGACCACCAGATAGAAGAAAACAGAAATTGCCAAGATAACCAAAATACACACTAATACAGAGAGAGAATGGGGCAAAGAGGTAGAGAGAAATAGGATGATACTCCTGAACCGGAATCTCGAGGCTCACCTGGATGCAGCGTCCGGCGTGGGCGTTGCTGCGGAAGAGGCGGTGACACCTGGGTGTAGCAGTGACTTAGATGCTTTCCAGCGCCAGAGACTGTTCTTATTCTCGCCGTCGTCGGTCGGGGGTGGGGAAATGGGGGGTCCCCAAGCTCTGGCCAACCAATGGGCGGCAGGGTCCGGTGCACCACTTGGATTGCGTCACCCCCCACGCTCCCAGAACCTGGAACACCCATCAAGACAGCTCCATTCTGATTTGCATTGAGGTCATTGATGAAAGTGGGGGATGGTAGGAGCAATGAGAAACTCAAAGTGAGCGGGAATATGAGGGCAGTTTGACATCACAGATTTCGTCTCATCTGTCCCACATGTTTTTTTCTGTTTTTTGTTATTTTAAATGTTTTATTGTGAATTATGTGATAGTTTACATGGGAGAACATTAGTTTTTTACATTCATCCTATCCTATATGGTTTCATTGCTATGGTTACAATCCCCTCCATGCATCATCAACCAGCCAAACTGTATACACTACAAGCTTCCCCCCCCCTCCATCAGCACACAGCCCCTCTCTCCCTCTCTTTGTCTGAAGTCCCCAACTGCTCCATCTCTCCATGTCATTGTCTGCTTCTCTGGGTAGGGTCCTGCTCTCCCTTGATGGTCCCAGGGACCTCTGCTCCTAGGCTGAAAAGTTA